CTGGTATTCCCTGCTTTCAGCCAAGATCCATCTAACATCAGCTACAATATCTCTAGTACCACGACCCCTTCTAAAACCAGCCTGGACTTCTGGTAGTTCTCTGTTGATGTGCTGTTCCAGTCGGTTTTGGATAATCTTCAGTAAAATCTTGCTTGCATGTGAAATCGATGAGATTGTTCTGTAGTTTCCACATTCTGTTGGGTCACCTTTCTTTGGCCGCTCAGAGGAGGGGTTAGGCATCCGACTAGCTGAAGTTGGGTGTGTAATGTAGTAACTGAAATATTCTTCAACAACTAAAAGCTTTTTAACTTTGACTTCAGTATCTGTATTGGGCATGCCAACTATCAGAAATAAAGATTCTGAATGCAAACAAACAAAAATGACCACACATAACCAAAAGCAAAGAAAGAAAAAAAAATAATCTCTAATCAGTTGTAAGCCCAAGGTGGGTGACTTAATCTGCGTCCCTCGGGCCTGTCTTTCACTGTTTTTCAGATATTCCTCTAGGTCTTAGAGCCCTGGTGTACAAGTTGCCGTACAGTGGTAGCTTGTGGTTGCTGTGAGGCTGATCACTGTGACACTGATGTGTCAAATGCGTTAATGGCTGGTTACCCAATGTAGACTGAGAGTGGGGTGGAACTCCTCGATTAAAACAAGCTGAAGGAGGAGTGGCATCCACTTCCGTAAAAGCTTGCCTCAGGAAACCCTATGAACCTGGAGAGGATGAGAGACACCCAAGTGTTGAGGGAGGGTCGCTATGAGTCATCTGCGACTGACGGCACTTAACAACAACAACAACAATAATCAGTTGTAAATGGAACTATTTTGTTAGAGGTAGTTTGCCCACAAAGGGACCAGAAATTTCCACAAGGAATTCACACAGCAACTTACTTTTCTTTCTTTGGTTTGGTGTTTATATCTCCTAGAACCATGATGTCAGAGAAGTCTATCCGGAACTTGCTAAGCAAAGTAGCCATCCTGGAAAAAAATACATTATACCAAGATACATGAAAAAAAAAAATATTATGTTTGTACCTATAATGTAGAACTGATTCTACAGATATGATTTATAGTCTATGAATACTAAACTTTTAAACTAATAAGAAAAGCATATTCACTAAATAGGTTTTTTAATTAACTAACTGAGTAGAGGCTTCTGTTCTTTATTTTTCCTTCTCAGAATTTCTCTAAAGAGGATTACAGAGTAGATAAAACAAGGCATTAGTAAAAAAAGTAAGAATGGTAATTAGTTCTTTTTTAAATATTATTTTTACTCAGATTCTACTGCTTAGTACAAATATTTCAGTAAAAATCAGTAAATAGTTACTTAATAATTTTTTAATTCTTCTCTAAGATTACATATGTCAACGTCCATTCTGATATGAAAAGCATTTAACAAAAAATAATTTTCTTTTTAATAAGAGGATAATCTTCTAAATGAAAACATTTTGTTTTAGAAAACAGATGTCTAACTTTTAAGTTAAACTAGAATTTCTTGCATAATTCACTTTTTGAAATGAATAAATACCTAGTTAAACCTGCTCTCTACAAATTAACTGTCTGTTGAACAGAGAAGGGTAGAGCAATCAGTTAATTTAAAAGAGTTTAAAGTATACAAAGAAGTATAAGCCTGAAATTACACGTGTTCAGAAATGTAAAAGGAACTAAAGCACATGCCTGGGGAAGTAGGAGATAATAGAAAGAGAATGGGAAGACAGATAATGAAAAGCCTTAAATGCCACATTACAGCAATTATACTTTGTAATAGGGAGCTTTGGTGGCTTTGTGCAGGGTTAGTGGCTACAAACACAAACACAAAGGTACGTAGTTCAAATCTACTAGTTGCTCCATGAGAGAAAAATGTGCAGTCTCCTCTCGTGCAATTTACTGCCTCTGAAAATCTCGGAGGGCCAGCCATGGTACTCAACTGTACACTCAACAGCAGTAAGTCACAGAGAGGCTGTTCAAGTATTTTGACCAGAAGAATCGTAAGATCAAAGATCTGTATTTCAAAGAGCTTGAGAGCAATGTATATAACACACTGGAAGGTAAGAGACCTGGAGTATAGGAGAAAAAGCACAGAAACCTGACCTAGAACTGTGGTATTTTAGAAGAAAAATGAAGATAGATGGCAACGGCATTCTCCTTTTCTGTGTCTAGACATCTAGAAATATGTATGTATATACTTTCTCCTCCAAAATTGAAAATTGCTTCAAGTTTTACTTAATAATAGTGTTTAAGGAAGACTCCACAATTCTAAAAATGTTTTAGTAAATATTAATATTAAAACGAAACATCTATAACTTAAGTATAAAGATAAAAATATGACGCTGTACTTGTTTAGCTGGAATGCTGAGCTTAAATATAGAACATAACTCCATATATAACCTTTATAAAATTATCTTATTTTCATTAGATCTGATCTATATTGTGATAATGAAGCACTACTGGATAAACTTACGCTCTCCGGTCGTGGTCTATTCTATTTATTTTTCCTCCAATGAATACTCTAATCTTGCAGTCTTTCCATTTTTTCTTGGTCGTCAGAAGATATGGTATCAATAATGTCAAACCTGAATCATAAAAACAATAAATTATTTATTAAATACTAGTTTTTAATCAAGAGATTGTTAACCAATTTAGTCTCTAAGACAACTATGTATAGAATGTAACCACAATTCAATGTAAAACAAAATTTTTCTTTCTATTCTTTAAAAATTCTGTTTTAAAAAAGTTACTATGCAGGCCAAATCAAAGATGGAATTAGGGCCTGTTCATGAAGTCAAAATGAATAGGGGTCTGGTCTAGTTGGGAGATTATTAGTTAGGAGGATTGAGGGCACAGATGCAGTAATTTATTATAATGGAAACCTGGTTTCTCACTGATATGAGAAATAGGAGGAAGGTGGACTTAAGCCACCGGTATTGAACTGAAACAGGTTTTTAATCCCTGTTTACAGAGAAACTGTATATACATATATTTCCTAGCTCTTTCCACTGAAAAAACCTGGGAGAAGTGATACTTTAATAGTAAATAAGATGCTTAATGTGATAATCTTTGTTTCCATGTACTATCCTCCAGTGAAAAAGATAGGGATTCTAGAGTAGTTCCTGGCTGAAGTGGAGTAGAACACTGAAATGGGAACACTTTACTGATAGATAAAGTGCTTCTTACTAAGAATGACAGAGACATGGCAAATGGACTTCTCCAGTTGTTCGTGTCTGAAACACTGTGACCATAAAAAAAATGTGTATAACAAATTATACTCCACTGAATGTGAATCCCCACTGACAGAACTAAAGGTTTATCTTTACAGTAGAAAAAGTCAACTAAAAAGTGAAGAAAGGGTAAGACTGAAAAAAATCTCCATGGGCCAACAACACAACAACAACAACATACTTAGGCAATAACTATCAATGAACACTTAAGATGGTGGGAAAAGAGGAAGAATGAGATATCACACAGTGTCAAAGTAATTCTCTGATAAATACCTGTAATTGGAACGAGAGAAATATTAGCTATTTACTGAAAACCACCTTAACTCAATGGGTAAACTTCACGTATGATACATAGGACAAATAATATCATGAGACAATGGACAAGATGTAGTCAAAAGAACACAGTATCATTTGTGTATACTTCTTTAAAATATATAGAACTTGAAGCTATAGCAAAGGGGCAGAACTCCGAACTGAACAAGATAACAATTAAAAGTAGGCAAAACCTGATTCTGCAATTAATCTGTATTTTTGGAAAGATTAGCAAAACCTGAATGAGGCGTCTCTGGCTGAAAGTACAGCAGACACCTTACTAATACCATCACAAATTCAGCATATTTGAACTTAATTTAAAAAGTATATTAATAACCTTACCTCCATCATCAAAAAGCCACCAAACATCAATAGTGTTTTTTCCTTGTTTTTTCTTAAACTGTGTACTAGCTTCAAGAAGCTTTTGGTCAGCTATATTTAAAGGCACAACAGGGCCTTTGGATTCTGAAGGATAAAGCAAAAATATAAGATGTAATGGAGGAAAATGTTAAATGCCTCCCTTGCTGAATTCTTATAGTATCCTAGACTTAATATTGTCAATGTTCATAGTATAGATATATTTATATCTATTATAAGCATCCATTTGTCTAGAATCTAAACATACTTTAAAAACTACAGATAAAAATATTTTTTAAAATAGTTAGATACATTATCTTACCAAATTTTTAATATCTTAAGCATTGTAAACAGATGTAAATTGATGAAAACTAATATATCAATCATAACTAATCAAGAAGATAACACCTGACTACTTCAGGATTTTGGCTCTTGAAAGTTGCTTTAAGCAAATTGGATGAGTTTATTCCTGTTCTGTGAATATTTTTCATTCAAAATATGAACTGTCAATACTATAAATCTCAAAATTAGTTTGAAATAAATATAAACTATTTCACTATTAGTCTAAAGAAAATCTCATCTTTTTCTAACTTTATGTCCTTTCAAAATGCTATTGAATTAAAAAGCTACATAACCATCTCATCTTTCCCTGAACTAAAGAAAGATGATGGGAACTCCTTGGAAGGGCATCCATCTGCTGTAGGTTCAGAGGACAATAAACAAACCAAGGAAGTTCCCACGTATTCCCAGGACTTAAAAACAAACAAAAAAAAAAACACCCAAAAACCGACACTGGCTCTGTGAGCAAGCAAATGACTATTATGAAACTCCTACACCAAATTGTTTATAACAGGAGGAAATGTGATCACTTGTACAAAGTGTCTATCATTCACTTTTCATGCTGCCATGAGGTATGCAAACATGACGAATGATTTTGCATGATGAAATATGGCTACCAAATCACACTGCTCCATAACTCTCACCTCTATCTCCTTTTCATAAAATTCATATATGTTGACATGACTGTGTATCTCCCAAACGCAGCAGGACTGTGAGAAATATTGTAATTTTTGAAATGAAAAATATATTAGTATCAAAATTAAGGATGTGGCTGGGTAAAACTGATGGTAAAGAATGCAAGTGACACTGTAAGTAAACCTAATTCAGTGCCCCAATTTATCATCTAAACCATGCAGTTTAAAATAAAAAAGAAAAAAAAAATACTTTTAGGGTTTGAATATTAAGTAAATATCATGATGAATTTAAAAAAATCTGTGATATACTACCTCTTCCTGGGCAGATTTGTACTTTAGTTGGACTAATGTTCATTTTTCTAATCTGCTTTTAATAAATAACTGTAACATCACCTCACCATGAAAACAAAAACTAAAATTAAAAAAAAGAATAATAAAATTGGAATTAAAAGAGTTAACAGCATGGAAAAAAGGGATTAAAATAAAATGATGAAAAATGCCTGCCTTTTTTCAACAGTGGTTGAGTTGGAGTCTTGCCATCCTCTTCCTTATCTAGATTATGTTTAAAAAACACAAAATAGAGGTTAATTGGCTTTATATTAAGAAAATAATGAAAATGTAATTAAAGCACAATCATAAACAAAATATAGTATAAAACAACAGTCTACGGAAAAGAATCAAGACTGAATTTTTTACACTAGCTTTTGGGATTTTTTAAAAGCAAACATCTTAGACCCATCATACAGGGCTTCTGATTAACATTCATCTCTACATTTTATTCCTGTAAAGGTGTCAAATAATCATAGAGATATTTAAATCCATAGTTCAAATCAGATGGGAAAGTGTTGTACTATGGGTCATGGGTATAAATATGACATGAAAAGTTGATACTGGAGAAAATACATAGATTCAAACCATGTTATTGTATCACTCTGTATGATGACTAAAGTAATTTTAAAAATACTTGGTGAAAATTTGATTATTTGTAAAAATTAATTACCACTTGAAATAGTAAGGAATCTAATCAAAGACTTGATTTTGATAAAATGAAAACATTATAAAACAGACATTTTCCTTCTGAATCTATACATTTATTTGTGTATACCTAATATTCATCAATTTATATGTATAATTCTTTTTCGGGAAGCTCTGGTAGTTTAGTGGTAAGGAGTTATGATGCCAACCCAAAGGCAATCAGTTCAAATCCACCGGCTGCTCCATAGGAGAAAGATGGGCCATCTCCTCCCACGTGTTTTATTGTTTCTGAAAACCTCCTGGAGGGTCAGCTATGGATTAGTTCTGATTTGATGGAACATACAACAAATAATTCTTTTTTCGGGGTTTAAAACCTAAAAACCATTGCTGCTGAGTTCATTTTGACTCCCAGAGATTCTACAAGACAGAGCTGAATTGCCCTAGAGGGTTTCTAAGACTGTAAATTATTATGGAAACAGTTATGTTTCTTCTATAGAGTGGTTGGGGGATTCAAACCTCTGAGTATGTGATCACAGTGCACCATGGATCCTTTCTGGGCTTTCCCATTTCTCAAATTTCAATCCCCCTCCCCCCCTTAATACAAGCTTGTTATAGTATGTATGATTTTTGGGTTTGTTAAGGCATGACTTGGACTGTAACATAATGCTCTGCCGTGTGCTCTACAATTAGACCTCCAGGGTTCCAATATTATTTCTCCCTCCTTTTTGTATTCTCTAAGCTTGAGTTCATTATTTAATTTTTTACTTTCCTCACTCATAAAATGGGTTAAGAATGCCTATCTCTTAAGGTTGCAATAAGGGATATTAATGCACAAGTACAAAATTTTGTGCCTAGTACAAATAAAGTATTCAGAACACTCTTTGTTGTTACATAATGTATGCTTCAATAAACAACACTGAGACAAAGGCAAATATTCAGGGTTAAATATCTAAAATGGAATGTTTGTAATTATGAAAGTTTCAAAAATTATTTTCCAGTTTCTAGGCTAATGTTGAAAACCAAGTTGGAAAGAAACACAAAATAAAATTGGTTATTTATAATCTTTTATGCTTATTACAGAAGGAAAAACATTTCATTATTTAAAATTTTATAGTTAAAAATCTTCTTATTAAGGATCTGTCTTTGATGATAATATAAACACTGGTAACTGTGGACATTTTGCTTTCATTTAAAAGAGCTCAGCAATGTCAAGGAAATCTTGATGTTTAAAAATTACTTTAAATTGACTTAAAGGTATTTAGATTTTTACAAAAGAATTATGAATAGGAATTAACTGACCCAGTTTCCTATTCTAGACAAATAAATGACTTCCTAGGATTGTGACACACACGAACTAATAAATAGATAATATCTACAGTAATGTAGGAACACAGAGGAGGTGCTAAACAAGTATTACTTCTTCCCTTCCTACAACGACCTTATTATTTCCTAACAGATTGGACAGAAATTGTTCGTTTATTAAAACAAGAGAGCAAGACTTTTAAAAAAAAGATAAGAAAGACTGTAACCATGAACTAAAAATAAACAAAAAAAGATTATCAGAATCAATTTAAAGAAAAAAGACATTTATAATCCAAACAGCAAAAGAACTGGAAGGAAAAACGGATCTCAGCTTTCAACATTGCTTATCGAAGAAAACAAGGTAAAAATAAAAGCAACATTAATGCCTCTATATAATCTAGAAGAGATCCCAAGTACCCAATGACAATCTATTTTAGAAAAGAATAGTAACTGTTTTATAGGAATCAAAAACATGATACGGTTTGATGATTTACAGTGCAGATTGATTCTTGCTGCAGGTGAGCAGGGAAAAGGGCAGATGGAGATACTAGACTGAACAGAGGTAGGAGAGTGAGGGTAGGAGAGTAAGATTTGGAAGTCATCCCTCTTTCCAATCTCAAAAACATGGCACATACATTTGTGGATAAAAGAATCTGAAAGACCTGAGATTCTAACTTTTTTTATGGCTTATATGGTTGCAAAGGTCATTAAGGACATTGTCTCTATAAATGATGGCTGAATATTAATTAGTTCAGCAACCAAATATACACATCTAGTTTCTAGAGACAGGGCCTGAATGGCGGTATAAATTTTCACATTATATTATACTACATTTTCTGAACATCTACAGGTAACAGTATAAGATATTTTAATATCTTAAAACCAAATAATATCCTTTCTATTTAACTACCTTGGTTTACTGAAAAAATTACATAAATTATTTTTAAATGGTATTCTTTTCACAATGTGATTTTATGCTCACTATGTGTCTTATCCCATTCAAATAGTTAAAATGGAAATATTTTAAATTTGTAGAAAAAAAGCACTTAAGAGCAAATTCATAAATTATTAATTGGTGTGGCTTCTGTTCAGTGATCTAGTTTTAAAACATTCAATTGTCTAGCCATTTTGAAGTCATTTTTGAAAGACATAAATTTTATCTAAATTTAGAACTAAAAATGAACCATACCCACCGAGAACAGGTTACTTAATAAGGCATGTTACATGATAAAAGCAGTTCCCCCCAGTTAATCACCACAAATAAAACATCTTGTTTCAATGAAAAATTACCTTTATGTTTAACAGTTTTTTCACCAGACTGTTTGGAAGTTTCTAAATCTGATGGCTTACTGTATTCCACATTTAAAACCACATCCTTGGGACCAGGAGATTTCTCTTGTGATGACAGTAATTCTTCTATGGACACAAAAGCATTTATGATATTATCTAATTCTTATATTTTTTTTTAACTATTAAAAGGCATGACTATTTAATTACAGGTGACATTTTAAATTATATAATGTTTGAAATGACTATTCATTTAAATATATAAATTACAACTGTGTGCCACACATTTGAATTAAGAGCTAAGGAATCAGTCAATGAGTAGATTTAATGAACAGTAGAATCTAGGTGAACAATAGTGTGATTTACAAAATGTGAATTAATTCTACTCTTAAGGTAATTTACTAATATAAAAGCAAAAAGTATGACAAACTGCTGGAATGCATGTTAGAAGATGGCGGTAACGCTGAAATATTACACTTCTCCATAGAGAGCCAAGGCTGAAGTCTTGGTAAGCTAAGGTAAAAGTATCATTTGTTCCTTTTTAAAAGCACTTTCTTGTTTTGTGCCTTTCCCTCCCTTCCCAAAAAGTTAGAAGACATTTAACTTTCACTAAAACAGGCCTGGAAACAGCAGTGGCATCTACTTCCAAAAAAAAAAAAAAAATACAAACAAAAAAACCCCTTGCCTCTGGAAACTATGAATTTGGAGAAAAGACTAAAGTTTTGTGTTCCAAGACTTTC